GCGCCGGGGGTGTGTCTTACTCAGGCCCTGTGGAAGTGGGCAGTGGCAGGCATGACAGGCCAGAGTTGGGGCTTCCAGGCTAGGGAGGGGCCTTGTGTGTATCCTCAACCTGCGTGACAAACCCACCCAGTGACCCCCAAGGGCTGCAGCACCCCCCAACAGACCCCATACCCACCTTGTTGAAGACCCAGATCTCGCCGTTGACGGTGGGCCGGGGCACACCATGCCCATTGTAGTGGAAGAGCACGCGCTCCTCCTTGGCGTTCCGCCGCAGGGAGGTGCACAGCTTCTTCACCTCGTCCACTGTGGGGTCCAGGCTCTGCTTGTAGCGGGCCTGGGGGGCAGGGGGAGGGGGGCAGCAGGTGAGTCACACTGCTGCAGATACAGACTTCAGGCCGACTGGGGCCTTGGCGAGGACTTGGGGCCTGGGGGGGGGGAGACATCATGCTGGCAGCCATCTGGGCCGAATCCGCGGCACGTGACGGAGAAACACGCCCCCCGGCACTCCATTGCATTTATTCACCTGCCTTCAATCATTCTTTAAAGCACACGTCTGTGAGGACCGGCACACGGTCAGGTGGCCCATGTGAAGGGGACGGCATCTACCCCGTTGCATCTCCATGGAAGCCGTGGAGCGAGGGACAGGTGTGGACAAAGGTGTGTTGGGACAGCAACTCACTCTTAGCATCCAATCTCACCCTCTTTGCATTGCAAGGTGCTATGATTAAATTAAAACCACACCCCCTAGTTTTAAATAGACGCATAGACAAGGCCGTCGCTCCACCACCTTTAAGTCCATTCAAACCAACATGGGGGCCCTTTAAAGACCAGAATTAACTCACTCCAGACACTACGAAAAAAGGGCCGGTAATGGGAACAGACCAGTGCACCGTCAGAACTGAAATCCCTGTGGAAAAACCAGACTGAGAGGCACTTACAGGGAAGTAGTCTTTTACTAAACCAATTTCATTCATAAACACATTTTACTGAGTGCTTCAAAGCCCCAGGAGCACATGTAAAAACAGGGAAGGTCACAGCCTGCGCCGCATAGCCCTCGCGCTATGAAAACCGACCCTTAATTCGCGGCTCATCGATTCCACTTCCTGCCTCCGCGGCGGCAATAATCAGCAGGCGGGTCGGGACACACTGGCTGCATCAGGGATGCTGAAGCTGAAATGCGGAGAGAGGGCGTTGTATGCGGGACCTGGGCTGGCTGGCTTCTCTGTCCGTGACAGACCCAGGGCTACGGAGGGCGACCGCGCGCAGGGGGGGGGGGGGGGGGGGGGGGGGGGGCGACCGCGTCCACACAGGTGTTAGACTCCCAACCACGACCTCTAACTAGCTGCCCAGCTTTGCTCTGCCATCTGTACTTCCACTCGCTTTGTTCTGTTGTTTCCTGGGACCAGCTCTGGATTATCTCATACTTAACTGGACATGAGGACACTAAACACAAAAGCAGCCAAATTTATTTTTAACATTTGTGAACATAATCAAAAATATATCCGAAGGCTGAACCTACTTTGTCCATAACAAAAGCTGATTCAACAGGATATTTTGGAGGGAAAACAACTGACTACTAATTACACCAGCTGACCCACAGCCCACCAATCAGGGCCCGACAGGCGATGGTGTGACCGGAGGGTGGGCGGGTGATCCCTCTCTCTCCCGCGTGGCAGGTGCGGCCTCGCCGCGAGAACGGCGACTTCTCGCTCCCCCTGCTCCTCCCTGTCCAGCTGGACTCCCCGTCGCCCGGCTGGCAAGTACGTGTGCATGGTGAGATCTTACATAAAGCGAGGCCTGGGGGCAGAGTGTGTGTGTGTGTGTGTGTGTGTGTGTGTGTGTGTGTGTGCGCACGCTTGCGTGTGCATGTTTCCCCCCGCCCAGCATTCGAGAACCAAGCCGATACACGCTAGAGCCCTTTTTAACAAAGGTGATAAAGCTCCTCTGGATTGAAGGCCGCCGTAAAGTTTAAACTGCAGGGGAGATGAGAGCGGGGAAAGGCGTCTGATTGGCTGCAGTGCGGTATCCCATCAGGCCGCGCTGACTGATTAGAGAGGGGAATATGAGAGTGAAGCGGCCGTCTCACCGAAAGCCGGTGTGCGCGGTGATCACTTCCGCCCGGCGAGAGGGGGTTAGTGGTTACTGGCCCACCGCAGACATTTAGCCAGCTGAAAGCCCGATGCCGCAGCAACAGGAAGCCCCCACCACAGCCAAGGAAGAGCCAAAGCAAAGACGCGAAGAGACACGCAAGCCTATTCTGGGGG